TCTTTCTTTCTTTCTTTCTTTCTTTCTTTCTTTCTTTCTTTCTTTCTCTCTTCCTTTCTTCCCTCACTCCTTCCCTCTCTCCCTCCCTTTCTCCCTTCCTCCTTTCTTCCTTCCTTCCTTCCTTCCACTCTCTTTCTGATAGGGTGTAGCAAACAAGTTAAACTGGCCAATTTCCTCCTAACAAGTCCAAGGGTAGTAAAAGCTGGCTTTAGGCTCTAGTTGTGCTATCTGCTGGTATGCCATTAAAGAGGAATTATCTTCCAGAGGATAGGAAGAGCCAAATTCTGCCCGGTGTTTAGACTTCTGGAGGTTAATCAAATAACTAGATGAGAATTCATTCCTCCTCAATAGCTTCATCCCAAAAGCCTCTAAAAATAGATGGAAGAGAGTAATACAAAACATGTAAGTAAGTCAAAGGGAGAAAAATAGACTTTCCACATTATCTAAATATATGTAGATCTAGATCCAGGTCCATTTCAATCCACAGTTAGAGGGAGAGCTGATTGACCTAACACCTTGTTTAGAAAAACATGTATAATTAAACTTGGTGATTGTCACAGAGAACAGTGAGGGTATCATCTAGAGCTATGCAGCTGAAAGGAATTCAAAGGAAATTTAAAGGTGGACCTACTAGATATGACTGGCCATACAACCACATATATGCTTATAAAATATTTGTTTTGTTTATTTGTTTATTTATTTTTTGGTGAGGCAATTGGGGTTAAGTGACTTGCCCAGGGTCACACAGCTAGTAAGTGTCAAGTGTTTGGTCTGAGGCCATATTTAAACTCAGGTCTTCCTGACTTCAGGGCCGGTACTCTATCCACTGCGCCACCTAGCTGCCCCTGCTTATAAAATATTTGAATAAATAGGTGGAGACCTCCGTCAGACTTACTTCGTCAAGCTTACTGTAGTCCAGCCCCTACATGTTGTCTCTCATTACACCCCTAGTTCCTGGCCCTTTCTTACTATTTTAGGCTTATTTATTTTTCTTTTTTTAAATATATTTTATTTATTTTACTAAATATTTCCCAATTACATAAAAAAAATTTTAACATTCTTTTTTTTAATTTTGAGTTCAGATTTTCTTCCTCTTTCCCACTCCTTGAGAAGACAAGTAATATGATATCTCTAGGCTCATTTCTTTCTGTTTTCCAGCTTAACCCACTCTCTGTTCAGGTTTATCCCCACTTTTGCTCAGACTGGGCCAACTGCCTAGAATGTCCTCCCTCTTTCTTTCCAGTTAGTCAGTCATACGTATCCTTAGAGGTGCATGCCACAGCCATGCCCCTTGTCAAGCCTTCTCCAACCAACTAGCCCCATGGTTATTTCTCCTTTTAAAATGCTGGAAACTGACATTTATGTAGCATATCAGATAGGTGAAAAGTAGCCTGAAAGAGTGGAAAGAGAGATGATGTTGGAACCAGGAATCCTGGGTTCAAATCCTGCCTCTGACACCTACTGGCTGTGTGACCCTGGGCAAGTTATATAACCTGTTAGTGCTCTGGGCAGCTTTAAGACTCTAAATCTCAGAGTAGATGGCAAACTGCACTGGTAGAGGGATTTTCCTCCTCTGGGAATTCCCTGCCAATGAAATAATAGGCCTCATCCTTAT